CCCTCACCCACCCACCCACCTTGACTCTGTGCAGCAGTCAAAACGCATACGTACCTGCACACTTGTCGGCATCATCTCCATTTCTGCATCGCCCCACCACGACTCGACCTCGTCCTGGCACACTATGTCAGACACACACACACACACGTATTGCGAAGACAGACAGACAGACATAAGTGCATGAGACGCGGCGGTCGACGTGTGCTTTTGTCTGACGTGTATACCTATCGTCACTTGGCCTTGGCCTTAGTCTTAGCCTTGGCCTTCGCTTAGGCCTTTGCCTCGGCTGACATGAATGACACCACACCCCCACACAGACCACACATGCAGTGATACGCATCCCTCCATCCCTCCATCCATCGACCCAATGAATGGTATGGTCCCAAGCCTGTCCATCTCCACGCACCTTTGGCCTTCGGCTTCGCCTTGCTCTTGGCTTTGCTCTTGCTCTTGGCCTTGACGATCGTCTTCTTGACGCGGCGACAGCCGGCTGCCTCATCCTCCTCACCTTCACCAACAACAGCAGCAGCTGAACGATCAACATAGACACACACAGACGGACATACGGGTGTCATTCAACGAGTGGGCGGATGCGTTCATGTGTGCAAGTTGTTTCTGACCTGAGGGCTTCTGGGCGGCTTTGCGGCGAGGGCGACCAGCACCACCAGCTGCTGCTGCTGCTGCAGCCTGCCCGTAGGTGGGTGCTTCGCACGCCACCCACACAAACAAACACACACACAAGGGGCCCCGTTACACCACACCAACCCCCAGTCAGGCACACACAACACACGAGAGGAGAGGCAGGCAGAGAGACGGCTGAGCTGCCTGGTCGATCGGTCGGTCGGTCGGGCGGTCGGGCGGTCGGGCGGTCGGGCGGGCGGGCGGGCGGGCGGGCGGGCGGTCGGCGGCCAAAAGAAGAAAAGACGAACGAGACACACAGACAGACACACACATACAAACACGCCGCAAAAGCAAGACGAGAAGCGAAGAAAAGACCACACCCGGAGTCGACAGACAAAGTAAAAGAAGAGGGGTACACACGAGAGCCATCCATCCGTTCCGCATACTCACACATCCCACCCCACCTCATAGTTCTTCCAACACACACACGCCGAAAAACGAATCGATGGACGGACGACAAAAACGCCAGACGAAACCCCAACCAACATTCAGGCGACCAACCAGACGAAAGCAAAGGAGAGGGACTGAGAAGTGTGAGTCCTCCTGGGGTCCTCCTCGTCATCGTCCGCAGCCGCAGCAGCCCTGGTCTTGCGTGGGGCGCGCTAACGCCTTGGCCTTGGGCCCCTTGGCCTTTGCCTTTGCCTTGGGCACCGCGGGAGCTGGAGCATCCACCTCTTCATCTCTGGTGGGTAGGTGGAGCTTGACCCTAAGCGGAAGGTTCTCCTCGTCCTCGGCCATGCGAGTGATCTCCTCCGATGCCGTCGTCTGAGCCATACCAGACCACACCAGACCAGACCACGCGTCAGGTGAGGTGAGTGACTGCGGTGCAGCTGCTGGCTGATCCACCCACCATCCCGCCCTGCCTCACCTCGTTGAGTTGGTTTCTGAGAAACTGCCGCTCCGGCACCGAGATGGCCAGCTTCTCTCCCTGGATGAGCAGCTCCTGCAAAGTCTCCAGTGGCACCTTGTGGCCTACACACACATACACACACACACACACAGACGCTGGCCTGTGTGGAGGGATGGATGGATGGTCACCTACCTTTGCTGGCTGGATTTGCGTTGACGTGTGTCTTGGTGGGGTCGTCCTCGCGGAACGAGCAGCTCGTAAGCCTCATGACCTCCCTGACTTTCTCGCGGTACAAATGCGCCTCGTTTAGGACGCCCTTCACCTCCTCGAGCAGCGGCAGCTTGACGTGAGCCGCTCGGGACTGCACCCCACAAACAGAGGGCGGCAAATCCATGACGGCAAAGAGTGTGTGCGTGGCGTTGTGTGCGAGTGCGAGACGCCAGGCAACGCGCCAATCGCTGTGGTGTCTCCGTACCGCTAATGGTGTACCCATCCTTCGCTCTGGCCAGCGCACGGCGAGCGACCTTTGCGCACAGAGAATAAAGAGAGTAATGGTGTACCCACGGCAAATTGCCGCTCTTGAGGATCAGCTCGACCTGCGAACCGCAAGCCCATATATCATCTCGAAACGAATACCTGTAAACGACGCACACATTCATGTCTCCCTTGCCGCTCAGCACACACACTTGTGCATTGGGTCGTTACCACGTGACTTCCTGCAAGCCGTGTTGGTTGCTGCCATCGCTCGTGTTGTCTTGGTCTTTGTCCCGCTGGGCCATCGACTCCGAGGTGCCTGCTTTCCCTTCTGGCTCCGGAGCATTTGAGGACCTCTGCTGGCAGCCCCCTGACCTTCAATTGAAATCGTACGAATGGAAACTGCATTATATATCGTTCGTCTCTGCTGGACAAACCCGAGACATCAACACGAATGTGCGGCGGACACTACGGAGGGGCGTGTGGTGTGGGTGTGGTGTGCACCCACCTTTGGCCATGATGAGGTTGGCCATAGTGTGGTTGCGGCAGCGAATAGAGGAGATCAGCGAGAAGGGCCACGAAATATAAAATGTAGGCAACGATATTCCCCAGAGCGGCAGCGCTGATCAAAATGATCCACCTGCGTGTGAAATGAAGGGGAAGGAACGCCGAGACACAGACAGACAGACAAAAAGAGCGCATACTGATCCGTTCATACAACAATGGCCGAGCGCTTTGGAGCTGCTTACGGGGAAGACCGGCAGCCGGCCAGCGACCTCTGTGCACAGAGAGGAACAGAAGAGTAATGCGTGAATGTCATTCATCCGTCCGTCGGCTGCCCGCACGAGTACTTACCGAGGATTTTTCTTGAACTCGAAGGTGCCTGGTTTTCCTCTTGTTCCATAACTCTTGAGCCGCTTCTCACGCCTGTCCTCGTCCAAACCAGCCACTACACGAATCCATGACGGCGTAGAGTGTGTGCGAGTGGGAGACGCCAGGCAAGGCGCCAATCGCTGTTGTGTCTCCGTACCAGCGCTGTCTTGTTCCTGGCCGGGTGGCATGATGGGCCTCCGCTTCGGTTTCGTCGGCAGTCGATCAAGGAGATCGTTGGGTGCACCATCGTCGTCGGAACCTGACACACACAACAGGCACACACACGTGTCTCCTTCGTGCCCTCTTGGCTGCTTTCTTGTGGGGTGTGAAGGGATACTGGCATGGGTGTGGGATTGGCCGGTCATCCTGTCGCAACAAATGGCACTCCCATTCCTCACACACACCACACAAACACAAACAATAAACACACACAGACATGGCGTGTTGTGTATGCTGTGTGGTGTCTGTTTCTGACATACCTGGTGGGCCATTCCAAACCTTCAGCAGCCCACCCGTCCGTCGCACCAATGCATTCTGAACAACAGACAGACAGGTCGAGAGACAAACGAGCCCACAAGAGGCGTTCTTGAGACGTGAGAACCTGTCCTCGGTCCGCGCCTTGTCGGTCGTGCTGGAATCTGGGCGCCACTCCCTAATGGCCATACACAGACACAGACAGGTAACCATACAGGGCGGCTGGGCAGGCTACACGGTGCATGTGTCTGTCTCGAACACATCGGCGGCTCTAGCGTGTGTGAGACATTCATTGTAGTGAACGCATCGTCTCTCTGTCTATCCCACTGGCTCACAGTGTTGCCTGGACCGCTGGGGGTTCTGTGGGAATGGGGTTGAAGAAAGGCGGGACGTACACCTGGTGGTGGGGACCGATGCGCACTGCCTTCGAGGGCGGCAGCTGCGGTGGCGGCGGCGGCGGAGTGGCGGATTCCGCGGCGGCAGGCTCTGCTCACATCAACAAACACCACACGCGCACACACACACACACACACAGAGAGAGAGAGAGAGAGATTCGTCAATCTGTCGCGGCGAATGGCTTTTCATCGCCCTCTTACGCAGCGGCTGTAGGGGGGGGATGCCGTATCGAGCCGCCAGCTTATTGCGGCGCTGGACTGCCACCAACAGCGCCTCTTCCATCTCCCTTGGCGTCAACGCCGCCGCCACCGTGGTCCTCGAGCCCTTCACTTCGACCTCCCAGTACCCCCTCCAGTGAAGTCCTTTCCACCGGATGTTTATGTCCTGCACGTTCCCATTCAGACGCCGGAGTTCCCTCATCAGTTCCGTAGCGGCCTGTCGGGCCTCCTTTTATGAGCAGCGCCGATAGCCAAAAAGGACCAATAATTTAAGAGCTTTGAGGTGTGGGTGGAAATGAATGAGGACTCAGCGGCGAGAGTGATCCAACGGTCGGCGAGAGCGTCTCTGTGGCGGCGACGAGATCAAGGACTCAGGACGGGAGACGACTCTGATGCAGACGGCGAGGCTCCGGCAGCGCAGCCAGCACCAGAGGCGGCCGCCGCGGCTCCCTGTTGCTCATGCAACAGCAAAGGGAACCCACGCGGAGGCCAGTGCAAGAACTGTGACTGCAGGAGGAACAACAGGATCTGCCGCAACTGTGTGCCAATGGGCAGGAAAGATGCGTAAACCAAGGCCAAGGCCCAGCAGGTGCCGCAGCATCGCCATCGCCACCATCGCAGCCCCCGGACACCCAGCTCTG